CTGATGCATCTCTCACATGTTTTTTTATATTCTTCCTAATTTAGTCAGCTAACCCAAGGACTAAATTTTGATAGATGTATTGTTATTGAAATAAGAACATAATATGGAATCCCTGAAGAAAGTGCTTTGATGAGAATCTGTGCGCTGGACTACAATTTTTCAAGCCCTTGTATTTGTTTCATTGTTTGAGGTAGTAAGATAATGCTTCATACAATAATTGATGAACGAGGAGAAGTTATTCCACGAGCACATATTCCTTATTGTCTGATTTGTATACCCTATACTGGAAGTTATTTTGGATGGCATACAAGGCAACACTTGTCTTCAATACCATCTTGTCACGAAATATTTCGTTCCTAGATATTCTTTCCACGTCCGGCTGTGTCACAACACCATTAGTCTCGTTCTCACCCACATCATTGGCTTCAACGGCGGATATATCGATGCCGGAAATAAATTCATGTAACTTTGGGACAGGTTTCGACATCTTCAAAGTGTAAATGTTTGGATAAACATGCTTGCATCGCTGCACAACCGTAGTAGTCAACACACTAATTACCTCGGAACACTTACCCACAATGCATATGCAGTGACGCGATGATCCCTGCGCTTCAGCTGCTTCATTCCACATAGTGCGCACTCACACAGTGACGTCATGCTGTTATTCGCAGTAGTATGCGACGTACTACATAGTGCCAGTTGCAACGCTGCATGATGATTGTTGGTGGTAATGATAGTTGTTTGGTGGTAGTCGTGTGGTTGCGGTGACGGTGTTGGTGCAGGTGGTTGTGGTTCGTTTGAAGTGGTAGTGTGTTGGAGGTGATGATTTGTGGATTTGAAGTGGCGACGGTGTTTTAGATAGTGCCAACGACAGTGGAGTGCGAGTGGGATTAGGTGGGGGAGATGAAAGGTAATTTGTAACTGGTTAATAATATCAATTAATTTGATAATTTTTTATCGATAAATAAGCTGTAACCAATAATAATGTGTGATTTGTAAATAAATTTGACCCGTCTTTGTGACCGACGTTATGTTATTGTGATTAGTACGTAACCATGTTCATAAATAATATGTTATTGTAACATTAACTTATACCTGATTATTAAAGGAATTTCACAAGTTTGAAAATATATAGTTATGTATTTTCCCTAATAATCATCAGCACCGAAAAATCTTGGAGATGAAGTCTAGTTGAAACTAAATCTAGCTACGGTAACACAGAATTGATGAAGGAATAGGAATTTATTTTTTAAAATTAGAAATTCGGCTTCTTGAAATTATTCTTGTATGAAAAAGTCAAGAGTCATATTGTAGGTAAAAATCCTTAAACATCTCTCTCGTTGAATTCCTGATAATTTCCAATTTCATTGTTCGTCATGTGTATTATTGTATTAATTTTTGAGCATCTAGTAAAGTTTCAAAATCTAGTCTCAAAGTAGTGTATACGTATGATTAACCCTTTAAATCAAAATATATTTAAATTATGGAAAGTCTACATAAATCCTGGTTTTATTTATACACATTCCAAAATTAAGGTCAGATGTTTTAAATTTCAAAAATAAGGTTTTTATTTAAATTTATTTATTAATTACTTAATTAATTATAT